AGAAAGCTGATGACTATTGTGTATTGAATTATGTTACTCCAGGACTATACCATAACATACATTGGTATAACTTTGTGCAGGCATTGCTCAGAGGAGTAAAAAATCCACACCCTGAGTGATGCGGTTATACTGACCTAACCCTGGTGTAGACGGGGTGGATGAGAGGGGAGCTTTGCCGGAAAAAAGCGCCAGTCTAGACGCTGATCTTGCGGAAAATAAAGCCTTTTCCGAAAGATCCCTTATCCCAGAGGCTTTATTTTCTGCAAGATCAGCGTCTAGACTGGTGCTTTTTTCTGGCAAAGCTCCATGCTGAAAAAAAGCGGCAGCCATTTTTATGCTAATGAAGCAGGGGAGATTTAAATCCCCGCTTCATTAGCAATTGCGATATGTCTAATTTACATCCCTTTTACGAAAAAGGGATGTAGTCTAGACGTAGCCCTGCTGTATAGTTAGCATTCTGTATATTTATAACTGACATAACTAGTGTTTTCTCTGTCAAAATGCAACTGTTCTTTGCTCTAGGTATATGGTGACTGCCTCCGACTATAAACCATACACACAGCTAGTCTATGCTGAAACTTCCTGTTGCTGTTGCTTTATCTTCCCTTTTTGCCTTATCTTCCCTTTTTCCACATCCCTGCTTGTTCATTTCATCTACTTGTGCTACCTCTTGTCTTGCAGACTATAAGTTCTTCGCAGCAGGGACTGTCCTTTAGCGTACATCTGTACTGTGCTTAGCTCAGTGGAACTGTGGCATACTTACTGCAAATAAAAAAATAAAAAATCTGACCAAATAAACTGTTAAATAAGACTCTTCCTCATCTGTTCAGCCTCTCACTACAGACAGTTGCTTCACTTAGACTTTGTCTCCTTAACTCACTCTGGGCATGTCTACACTAGAAAGTTAGTTCGAACTAACGCATCTAGAACTAAAAACTAGTTCGAACTAGCAAAACGCTAGTTCGAACTAAGCGCTCCGCTAGTTCGATTCAAATTCGAACTAGCGGAGCGCTTAGTTCGAACTAGGTAAACCTCATTTTACGAGGACTAACGCCTAGTTCGAACTAGCAAAACGCTAGTTCGAACTAAGCGCTCCGCTAGTTCGATTCAAATTCGAACTAGCGGAGCGCTTAGTTCGAACTAGGTAAACCTCATTTTACGAGGACTAACGCCTAGTTCGAACTAGCGCTGTAGTGTAGACGTACCCTCTGTTCTTGAAAGCCTGGAAGAAAAGAGGCCTTGCAAAATGCTGCCCTCCAATAAACTTAACAATACAAATAGCAAAGCACATGTACACACAGTAGCTTCTCTCTCACAGTCCTCATCTGCAACCCTACAGGACAAGGTGGCTTGGTTGAGAAGAGTTATGGCAAGGAAACATAAATGTTTTAAACTCCTGCCGAGCAAGTACAAACTAAAGCTAAACAGTGATGCAGTTATCTGGGACTACAGAAGAAATCCAAAACGTAATACAGAAGACAAAATGGCATACCTAATTCTCCTTGACAAATATCTGTTCGGTTGGCTCCACCAATTATAAAGCGTGGGTTCTCACAGATTTCCTGTAAGATACAAACATAGGTATGAGCAGAGAGACATGTGCTTTATGATGTCTGCATAGTAATCCTGGTGCCAGCACTAGAACCTGCTGTTTCTACAACTAAGGGGTGGGGAGTAATGTCAGGGCCTGCAGCTGTGATGCTGCAACACAGAGTGCTGTCCTGGGGCAAGTGACTGCCCAGGATATGTCTGAAAAAATTAGGAAGAACAGCGCTTGCGCTAGAGGGGGTTTTTGTGCAAAAAGGAGCCGTCTACACGGCTCGTTTTTGCGCAAAAGCCTCTTGCGCAAAAGCGGCTGCTCATTACTTATGCAAATGAAGCGCGGCAATATTCCACTCTGTGCTTCATTTGCATATGCTTTTCCGTAAGAAGGCTACAGTATAGACGTAGCCTGGGTGTGTGGCAAATGGGTGAGGAGCTGTCATTTGTGGGCTGTCATTGCAGCTTTGAACCGAAGGAGCAGCACAAGCTGGAGAGAGACGAAGGCAGGATGGCAGGAGTGAAGCTTGACTTCAACCAGGGAAAGGAGGATCCGGTTGACGGATTGTGTTGCTGACAAATGTGTTTTACTGTGTTGGCAATTTACATTTTTATCTTCTTCCTGAAGTCATATTTCATGCTACTTCATGTTACTTATGTTCTTGCCAAATTTCTGGGTTTTCCTTGATAAAGTTTAAAATGTAAGGTTATCTCCATTGTGCTGGTTTGCTTCTTTCACTCCTCACAGGAGGCAAAGCCTATCTATCTGAGGCCTGGGTCACTGCATCTATTTCCTATAGACATGAAATGGGAGTTATGACCACAGAATCTACAGAAAAGCTGAAGGGGTATGATTGCAGTTTCCTTTCAAAGGTGCTTTTCAGGGCCCTTTGAGGCTGGCTGTGCAGAATATCGGATAAAGTAAAGCCTCCATTCAGAAGGGGTTGGTAGCTGGAATTGGTGAGACCTTTTCTGAGCCAGCTGCATGGGGCATAGTAGTTCCAAATATATAAGTTTGAGGGGGATCAAACAGAAGAATTTTGCTTCAAGTGTGTGGGGGGGAGTTAAAATCGGGGAGGCATAATGGCTCCCCTTGGCTGGAAATGGTGGATTGGGGCCAATGGGACCTGCATGGCTCCATGGCTATGGAGCCTTTAGGTAAACAAAAGTGGAACTGGCCTGCAGAACCATTTGAGAACCGCTGCCTTAGAGCTGTATTGTTACATGTCAGTTTTGCCTATTTTCACACTGACTGCTAATTAATCTGCCAGCATAACTGCTTGCAAGACCTCCTTATTCTCTGTAATTCTGTGTACTGACTAATGCTAAACTCATAATGAAATGCATTTGGGTTTTTTCTTCATTATCACCAGCAGCTGTTTAAGAAGTTGTACCTAGGTTATATCTGTTTCTAAAGGTTCAGCTATGACCCAGAATATCACTCCCTACTAGTGGTCTCTTCCTTTGCTCTTCAACTGGGCGGTTTTCTGCCCAAAGGAGGGGAGGGGTCCAGCAACCCTGGCTTGAGAGGAAGTCAGCAGCTGTGTGTGTGTGTCTTTGTGCATACTGTGTGAGGAGATGCTGCAGGGATGAGAGACAGTGTGTGTGACAGGACACAAAAGCGTGTGTGTGATTAGGGTTACCAGATGGCTTCAAAAAAAAATACCGGACACACTTGATCTCAGATGGGGGAGGGGGAGAGGAATGGCCAGGAAGG